TTAATTTAAAATACAAACAACAACAAAACAAAAATAGAAAGCGCTTTGAATGAACTCGTTAAGTGAACTCTGTGTCAAACTGATGGGTTATTCAGAGTTTACTTGGGTAAGATCAAAAAGATTTACTCTAAAACCGTACTAATTATTTTTGATTCAATGTAATTCGGTAAACTATATTCAAGTTTATAGTCGGTAAGATTTGTGATGACATTGTCGGCAATAAAATGCATGACAGTATTGTATGTGTAAGAATTTTATAAAGACAGTTGTCTTTATAAAATTCTTCAATCCTACATCAGTCCTCGGACTCAGTTTGTAAAATTGAATTCTGCAAAATCCCAAACGACCCGCATCACATCTGGAATTCCTCAAGGGTCCCATTTGGGACCATTGTTATTTTCACTGTTTATCGCAGATGTCAGTAAATGTTTTCTTTTTGCTAAATCAGCATCATACGCAGATGATCAGAAATCATACGTGCCCGTGAAAAGCCGTAACGACTGTCATAAGTTTCAAGAAGATCTTGATCGTTTTTATGAATACTGTGTGAAAAATCGTCTATTTTTAAATATTGATAAATCCTACTGTCTTAAGTTCAGCAGGCGGATAAATGATATAAACTTTGACTACACATTCAATGGTGTAAAAATAAAAAAAGTAGAGCAGATTAGGGATCTTGGAATAACTATAGGTGTAAAATTAAATTTTGATATCCATATTGAGAATATAGTAAAAAAAGCTTATAAAAATTTAGGTTTTATATTAAGAGTTAGCAAGGAATTTCAGGATCACAAATCGCTTATTATTCTATACAATTCCTACGTTTGATCTCACCTTGACTATGGCGGTGTGATATGGAGTCCTCAGTATCATAAATATATAGACAGAATCGAGAGAATACAAAAAAAGTTTGTTTTCCATTTAAATTTTAGATTTAACCGTAACTTACTAACTCATTCGTATGAAGCTAGTCTTAATTTCTACCATATACTGAAGTTATCTGTTAGAAGAATTATCTCCAGTGCTATATTTTTGCATAATATTATTAATAGTAGGATTGACTGTCCTTTACTGTTGGAAAAACTCTCCTTCAATGCCAGAGTCGTTATAACAAGAACTCCTTCATTATTTTACGTGCCTAGATTTAATACAAACTTAGGTAACAATTCCCCAATATCTCTTTTACACAGACCTTACAATAATTATTTTTCGCACATTGACATCTTTGCGTTATCACTTAATACGTTTCGAAACCAAGCAATTAGGGTTTTTCTATAAATTTATTTTAATTTTTGATTTGTTTTCCTTATTTTTTCACATTTGTTTTTTGTAATTCACGCACTTAATATACAGTGTTAGTTTTGGTTTAGTTTGGTAAGTTTGATTGTTATTATTTTTTTTTTGTTTTTTATCTTCTGCTTATCGTAGATATAGGTAGGTACTTGCTTATAAGTTTTACTTTGTTAATTAAATAATGGTATAATTGTTAGTGTGTCCTTGTAAATTGTGAAGTTAGTTCTTCATGTTAGGGCACCTTTGTAATAAATAAATAAATAAATAAATAATAAATAAATAAATAAAAGACAGAATAAAATTATACTTTAACAGATGCTGTTCCTTCCTAAATGCAAGACGGCCGTCACTAACGATCACAATTATATTACTTGTGAGTAAGAGAGACAGAATTAGTTGTACTTTATTTTATTTTATTTATTTTTTATATCATACCGTATAAAATATAATTTTCTAAGAGCAAATATACAAGTAAACCATATTTAGTTTGTATTTGCTATGAAACATCTTCATCATCAGAGCCAAAATTGGAACTGCTGCTACCAGAAAATGATCCTTTGTCTGCCTTAATATTAAGAGGTGGTTCCGTTATATCCAGTATATTCTCTAATTTTCAGTACTCTTTTATTATATTTTCTGTATGTGTTATACAACTGATCCAATTTTCTTTGGTAACTGGAGAGCAGCCTTCCAAACAGATACTACTGCAGTACCATCATGCCTTGCCTCACAGACAATATTTTTATTAAAAAATGTTTTGCACTCAGCCCACATCATTTTTATGGCATGATTGACGAATCCTGAAACTAACTATCCACACACTTTACGATACTGTTTATGCCAAATTATCCCATGTTTTATAGTTTTTCAGTTAGGGCAATTTTCAGGATCTTTTTGTTTATTTTTTACCCAAAATCGCCACACCCTGTACATAATCCAAAAAATGCCCGAAGTAAAAGTTATAGCCCTGGATCTCCCACGTTTCCTGGTATATGAACTTTTCCAAAAGCGTAATTTTTTTTTCGAGAAAATACTTGTTTTCTAAAACCATGCGGTAAGCCGTGATAGTAAATGACGTAATCGCGTGAAAAACTCTCAGATATCTCCAGATGTGTGAGTGACAGAAGAAATCCGAAAACACAAAAATTGTAGCTCTTGATGCGGCTTATAACACTGTTGAAATCAATTTGCCATATGTTTCCACATTTTTGATTTACGGTAAATAATTTACTCCCTAAAAGAACAATTTTCAGGGTCGTCTAGATTTTTGTCCATAATTGTACATAATCGAAAAAATCCTTAGAACAAAAGTTATAACATCGGATCTTCCATACACCGGATTCGTTTCGTTTTTGAGAAAACCATGCTTATCTACTAGCCAAAATATCAAAATAAAAATTTTTATTGCATTCAATTTTTACTGTTTAAATATGGGTATATACTTTTACTTCTCTGCTAAATGAAGTCGATAAATGCAATTTTAGGATACCTAATACATTTCTTAGATAGCACGGAATATCCCGAACACCCTGTACCATAGGTGAAATTTTAAATACAAAAGTTTTATCTGTCTATGCGGACTATACAGTCGTATAAAGCAAATTAACTACTTAGTCACAGCCTTCTAGTTATAGTAAAAGAAGAACACAATTTTCAGTTTTTTTGCAAATACCGAACACATCCTGTTTATTTTTGAAAATTACTAAGAATGAAAACTTTAAGCACTATATTTCGTGGATTTTTTTGTTCGCCTAAACGGTTTTTGAAAAAATTACCTTTTTCGTAAACCCTTGCAAACTCAAAAAGGAGGAAAATCTTAATTTCGTAGCTCAAACGGTTACGAAGTTATTTTCGAAAAACCAACAGACAGACAGACAAAAGAAAATTTACCATTCTTTTTCGATTTTCGAAAGTGCTAAGTATAATAATTAAAACTAATACGAATTAAAAAGATTTATTTTATAACAAAGAAGCCTACGTGAAAAATATTATTAAATCGGTCATTTATACGTATATATAGTCAGATGACGCATTTAATGTCATAAAAAGATTACCTTAAGGTTGGAACAATGAGATTGGCAATAGGAAAATTCTAAATTTGTTCTGCGCTGTTTCTGACAAAAAGATGTTATCTTTGTTCCTTTCGCAATGTTTTTTTTTTAGTTTATCGTTAATTTAAACATTATTCTACAAAATAGAAATCCTACTGCTTTGAAGTATTTTCTGAAGTAATCAGAACACACAAATATTTTCTAAAGTCGGCCTAGGGTTAATAAAGTTTCTAGCTTCCAATTGAAAACCGTTTGTTGTCTCTGGGCCAGTTTGGGATTAGACGTGGTAAATAGACTTGCGGAGCGATTAGTAGAGTTCTTGATCAAGTTTACGCAGCTTTTGAAAGCAGAGAGTACTCCGGCACAGTCCTATGCGATCTTTCGAATGCGTTTGACTGTGTCCGGCATCCTGTTCTTCTGAGTAAATTGCAGAAGTATGGTGTGGGTCCCTCATAGATTGGATTTCTTCAAAATTATCTTTCCAACAGAAGGCAGATCGCGGTGTTGAATGGAAAATCTTCACAAATTAAAGTTGTTGAACGTGGAGTACCCCAAGGATCCATTATGGGCCCTCTTCTATTCTTGATCTATAAAAACGATCTCTCTGAGAATGTTGCTGACATAGTTTGAACATTGTTCGCTGATGATGCTACCTTTCCTTATCGAAGTCATTCTGAGAACGACTTGGTGCACAGGATGGAGGGGGCACAGTCCGGTGCTAGTGAGTGGTTTGGTGCTAACAAACTTAACCTCAATGAACCAAAAACACAACAAATTATATTTTCTTTACGCGAGTGAGCATTCAACAATCCATTACATGTGAACTGTCTTGGGGTTCTGCTTGATTCGAAATTGACGTTCGAGCGGCATGTTATTGGTCTTTGTGAGAAGCTCTCCAACGTGGTGTACTTGTTGCGCGGTTTGGTCGGCGAGGTCTCTAAAAGTATATTCAGAATGGCATATTTTTCACTCTTTCAGTGATTATTTAGCTACGCAATTTTGGTATGGGCCGACTCTTCACATACCGAAAGAGTTTTTTCGATACAGAGGCGAGCCGTCAGGGCGATGGCGATGAACAAAGTTTAAAGATCTCCAAATATTAACTATTCCATGTTATGATATCTATTCAGCATTAAAGTATACTAAAACCAAACAGGATCAATATCCCTTTCATATTAATGTTTGTCACCATCTCACCAGAAACAGAAATGATATGTTGAATAAACACTTCAGAGTTGCAAAGGCTAGAGATTATAAGAACTATTATGGACCTAAATTCTTCAGCTAGAGATTATAAGAACTATTATGGACCTAAATTCTTCAATCAATTGCGTCTAAGCGTCACAGAGCTGCCGGCGAGACAATTCTCCATTAAGGTCAAATCACTTCTGCTGGATGGGGCCTATTACTCATTTGATGACTTTTGATAATGGTTATCGTTTTCTGTGTTATGTCGCGGTGCCATATATGTAGATTTTGCTCAATGTTTTTGACTTGTGTGTATGATTATTATTATTATTATTATTATTTATGAGTCTAAAGCAAAATAAAGCTATATTAACATACTAACAAAACACTAAACCTTTCTAACAGACTAATAAATGCGATCTCTGGGCGTATCGACAATGTTTTAAACACATATTTATTTACATTTAGCACAAATAATTGCAGAGCGAATAGCTAGAAGACGGGAACAGGAGCAGACGGACAGAAGATCGGAATCTTTCAGCGAGATCTACATAAACCCCGCTTTTGCCACTGAAGCGAGCGGAATTTTCCCAGGAGGTCCGCCCCCGTACTCAAGTAAGTCGAAAAATTTATCAAAAAAACAAACGCAAAAAATGTAAAAAAGTTATCTGTCTCGCGTCCCGTTACTTATCAAAAATCTCAAATGGAATTCCGCGTGCAAACAAATAAAGTCAATAAATACGATAAATTTTCTGATTGAAAGTGAACGATCAAAAGTTTTATAACGAAAATTTTTGTTTCCGGCAAAAATAATTCGAATTTGATGTCGTTTAGTAAAAATTTGAATTATTATTTAATTTTCTCAAAACAACTGTAAAATTTATTTTATCTATTACATTTAAGTAAAATAAATAATATTTATTATATATAAGTTATTTATGATAAACTTTTTAATTGAAAGTAAACTAACCAAATATTTTTTAATGCAATTTTTTTTCCCGAAATAATAATTCGAATTTGATGAAGTTTTGTAAAATTTTGCATTAATATTTAATTTAATCAAAACAACTGTAAATTTATTTTATCCATTATATATAAGTAAAATAAATAATATTTATTATATATAAATTATTTTATGATAAATTTTCTGATTGAAAGTGAACGACCAAATGTTTTTAATGAAAATTTGTATTTTCCGCAAAAATTATTCGAATTTGCTGAAGTTTAGTGAAATTTTGCATTTATATTTAATTATCTCGAGGCAACTGTAAATTATTTTATTTATTATATATAAGTAAAATAAAACATATCAATAATATTAATAATAATATTAAATAATATTATGAAGATTTTTGTTTTCCTCAAAAACAATTCTAATTTGATGACGTTTAGTAAAAAGTTGCATTATTATTTAATTTTCCTAAAACAGCTGTAAATTTATTTTAACGAATAAATAAATATTTATTATATATAAATTATTATCATGATAAATTTCAGTTTGTTTGTTTGTTTAGGGAAAATTTGCAATAATATTATTAAATATTCTTATTGAGTTTCTTAAAAAAAAATTCTTTTCTTCAAAAAAATTTTATTTTCGTAGAAAATTTGAGATTTTGGGTTACCTCGAGTTTATTATCAAATTGCTCATTATTATCAAATATCTCAGTTTTGACAAGTCATAGCCCGCTATAATAATAGGTATAGTTTATGCAATACAGGAAAATTTCTATTTCACAAACAGATATTTTTTAAAGTTCCAGTGGATGTAAAATTAATTTTAAGAAAATTTGTAATTTTTTATGACAGAAATTTGATTTTGGAAAATTTCAGGAAGGCATTTTCATTGTTGCCTACTATATATGTCATGAACTATTGCTGGTCATGTGGCAAGACCTTTTTTCCAATTATATTAAGAAATGTAAATGTCTATTATTGTCTGTTATTGCTTTTTGTTTAGAGTTTTTTTGAGAATGTGATGTCGGTGAAATTGTTCAAATAAAAGTCTAGGAATAGCTGTCTTTCATTTGAACAATTGAACTTGAACTTTCAAAGTTAGCTATTATGTCTAAAACCGATATTACTTTTGAGGTCAATTTTTTTGAATATTCCTGAGAACATAAATTGGTTTTTGGCTTTTTTTGAGCTTATGATAATGTAACCAAAATGGTACACATAAAAGTCAGCTATCGATAATATTCAAATTTAGCTTTTTATGTTGGACAATTTTTGGGTGCATTAAAAATAAAACGTTATATCAACATATGTCCTAAACGTCTTAACTTTTGAGACACAGGGTGGTAAAGTTTTCAAAAATAAAATATTTGTTTTTATATATTTAATACCACTTTAGATATTTTAAGGAATTTGGCACACATGTACTACGTATCAAGAGGCATTGTTCAGTGCACCACAATTTTTTCATAATACATCAGTGGCGGGCGTACGGGATTTCACACAGACATTGATCGTACGCCACCAATTTCCCTTAAATTAAAAATTATTTTTACAATCTCCAATCTTTCTAAAAAAATTAAATTTCTTGATATTTTTCAGTCTCATGTACGGTTTTCACATAAAAAATAAAACCTCTTCTCTGCATGCTCATAACAATATAGTTAATATGGCAGCATTATTTTTTACTTAAGTAATTGCATACCTGTTTGATGAATATACCAAATAAATTTAAATAGGAATCGTTTATTATTTATCTTGTTGTTCTCGATGTAACCAGTGCAGCGGTGACCAAATTAACCAAAACGATATTTGTTCATAGGCACGCCACTGATATCCTTAAAAAAATAATGACATTTTCATTTATTTACGATCAAAAAATTAAATTTCTTTAGAAATGATTCATAATTCAATGCCATAGAAATTTTCTTTTTAAAATGAACCCAAAAATCGCCATCTAAATTATTAACGTTAAACACTATGTATATGATCATATTTTCCAATGACGGGCAATATTACTAAAAATTTTCGTCCGCTTACTATTTTCATTACTTTTTACAAAACTTTTGGATTCCTCCTGCGTCGGTTTTTGCTGAGTCGAAATTGCTGACGTTTCGCCAATCATCCTGTTGGCTTCTTCAGAGCTTGACAGTAACTGGCTCGTATTTTACTCTGTACCTGCTTATATATTGTCTCGGACGACTGATTCCCAAATTCGTGACAGGTAGAGACCTGAGTCGCGGTTAAGATTGTTAGGTTGTTTATAGATTTCTATAGACTCTCGAATTTTTCGTTTTAGTTTCATCGAATAAAATTTTATGTCCGGTTTCATGAGTGTGCTCGGCAACAGCTGATCAGTTTATTTGTCTTAGTCGTAAAGCTCTTTCGTGTTCTTTGAGCCTAGTTGATATTTTTCGTCCGGTCCCTCCAATGTATTCTTTGCCGCATATGCATGGAATGCTGTAAACTCCTGGCATCTCAAATGGAATTTTGTCTTTGACGGACCGAAGATGTTTAGAGATTTTTGGACAAGTGGTAAATCTGGTTTCGACGTTATACTTCTTTGGAACTCTTGATATGTGGTCAATGATGTTTTGAATGTAAGGAAGGACCACAGTGGCATGTGTAGGATTGCTTTCGCCCTCATTGCTATTGATGAAGTGTATTTTTTGATGGATCGCTTAATATCTTTAATGTGGAAATTATTAGAGAGAAGAGCAGAGGTAAGGTGCTTTAATTCTGTTTTCAGTGACTCGGGCTGAGATAGTTTTGCGGCTCTGTAAACAAGAGAGTTGATAACCGATGATTTTTGAGCCGGATGGTGCTGTGACCATGCATTAAGGTCTGTGTGCGTAGGTTTTCTGCAAACACAATGACCCAATGTTAATTCTGATGATAAGAATGGAAGTTTATTATTAGCTTCCAACTCAATGGTAAAACGTATACTAGGGTGTATCGAGTTTAAATGTCTAAGAAAATCTACTAGGGTTTCTTGACCATGAGACCAAATGACAAAAGTATCAGCGACGTAGCCATTCCATAATTTTGGTTTTAGATTAAAGGTGTAGAGAGCTTTCTTCTCAAAGGCTTCCATAAATATATTCGGGATTACAGGTTATACTAGAGAACCCATAGCAATTCCCGACGTTTGTTCAAAAATTTGACCATTATAAGAAAAATATATTCCCGATAAACATTTTCCAATTAAGGCGAGAAGGTTTGGTTCCAGATTCTCCGATTTTAATATATCTGAAATGATGTCGAGGGTTTCAGGAATTGGAACTTTGGAAAAGAGGGATTCTACGTCGAAACTAACTAGAATATCGTGTGTATCTAATGTAATGCTTTTCGATTGTTCAATGAAGTGAAAGGAATTAAGTACGAAAACTGTCAGTTTTCCCAGTAAGGGGTGTTAATGAGGAGACTAATGGTGCTGACAATAGGTCGAAGGGGTAATCCTGGTTTGTGAATCTTTGGAAGTCCTTAGAGAGGAGGAATTTTAAAGTCCTGAAGGGTAACAGATTTTTCCACGGAGTCTGATAGAGAAAAAGCTTTAATAACAGATTTAAGGTGGCTATCCATAGATGACGTAGGACCTTTTTTAAGTTGACGATATGATCCGTCTGTAAGAATATCTTTAATCTTTTCCTAACAATCTTAACCGCGACTCAGGTGTCTACCTGTCACCAATTTGGGAATCAGTCATCCGAGGAGGTGTTTATACTGCTCATTTAGCTCCGCCCCCCTCAAACAATATATAAGCAGGTACAGAGTAAAATACGAGCCAGTTTCAGTCAAGCTCTGAAGAACGCAACAGGATGATTGGCGAAACGTGACCAATTTCGACTCTTTGAAAAATTATTTTTTTTATTATTTATTTACAACAGAGAGCAAAACGGTTTGATTTTAGTTTCCTATTTTAGATTATTACTTAGAACCTCCTCCGAAATACGACGATGTGATAAAAGTGCACGCCATAGATGTTCCCGTAGAAACCGCAGCGTCTGCGGAAACCATCGTAATAGAAGCTAGAAACTCCACCAACGCTCAAAGCCCACCGCCGTATACCGTAGTTATACCTCCCGCGTCTACTACGTAAATTACGTCAATAAATCAACCAGAAATTTTCTATAAGCGAAACGTAAATACGTATTAAAATGTTAGAACTATTTAGCACTTCTGCATAGTGACGCCGTCACAGCATATTTCATATTGGAATCCGCCGATCGCCATTGAAAACGCGCCGTGCGCCGAATAAAAACCCGAACCCAATTGTTAATTTTTTTATCCCGATTTTGTTTACGATAATGTAAAAAAAATGTAACTCTGCGCTGACTGTTCTCGCTTTGTTCAAATATAATGGGAGTTATCACGAGCGCGTATATTATTCTCGCGAGAAAAATAAAATAATCCGAAACTTTTTCGTCAGTTGCGTCATTGTTTATTTAAATTTTATTGCGCCCCGGTTTAATTTTGAGAGAACAATGCGACGTCTACGCTCGACAAATAAGGATTTTATTGGGATCCGCAAAGGTCGACGAAAGTCGTCGGCGATAATCGTCAGCCTAATTGCTGAGCGGTCATTCTGGCTTGCTGAAATGAAAAAAGCCCAATATTTACTTGCTGACGTTACGACATCATTCTGCTGGCTTCCTGGGAGTGTTCAGAGTATTTATTTATTTAATAAAATTAATGTTGTCCCCTGCGAAGTAGTCCCTTAGGTTCTTTCAACGGATTTTTTCTTTATCTCCTCAATCCTTCCAAACCCCTTTCCTTTCATGGGTTTCTTGAGTTTTGGGAAAAGAAAAAACTTAGACGCAAGCAACGATGAGTGAGGAGGTACATTAATGTGATACAAAATCCACGAATCGCTTTCCAACAGTTCCGAACTTCAACGACAATCAAAGAACACACTAAGCAAAACCTTGACATTTGATCGAAGTTAACGTGCTTTTTTCGGTCTTGGAGATTCAAGGTTCTTCCATTGGCACAACAGATTCAAAAATGCTGCCTGAGGCTTATTTACGACCAGCTGAAGGAAGAGGGTTGGACGAATATGAAGACGCGGCGCTTTATCGATCGCCGTTGTCTTTATTTCAAAATAATTTAGACGAAATATCCCGAACACCTCTTCAAAAAAAATTTCTTTTAGAACAGAAGCGAATAACTTAAATCTAAGACTTAAAGAAGTAATAATTCCTCCTCACCGATCTGGTATGTTTGAAAGATCCTGCCGCATAATAAATTAGTTTCCAAATAAACTAAAAACGTGGTTATGTTCTAGAATTTAAAGAGAAAAAAATGAGAAAAAAAATCGAGATGTTACTGAACGTTGAAGAATCAAACCACTGTGCACTGCTAGTATTCTTTAAAATTTGTGGTACTTACAGAACTTTAACCTCGGCTTTATCTAATAGTTTTTTTATTCACAGAGGTAGGTTTAGGTTTTTCTTTCTGTTATATAATTGAGTGAGTACTCAACGAACTTGTAAATATTAATTAAAACCATGGTGTGAGGTTATGTGTAAGGATAAGCGTAGAACTCGGCAAGCAGATACGTCTGGGCGCTGCACTCTTGCATTTTCTTGTAATTTTCCTTGTCGAAATTACCTGAATAAAGAATAAGTATATATTATTATAAAAAATGAGACCAAACATTGGGTCATTCTGATTGCAGAAATCCTACGCACACAAACCGTACACCTTAATCCATTGTCTCCTCACCATCCGGCCCAAAAATAATCGATTAACAACTATCTTGTTTACATAGACTTCAATCCCAGTCTCATTGGAAAACATTTCGACTATTGATGCTTTGGTTAGTTTGATTTGGTTTCGGTGGTATGACTTACCTTCCCCAATAAAACTATGAGGATGTTATTAAATTCTGTTCATAGATATAAGAAAGTGACTAACTGATACGAAATAAGGAAAGACCCGGGCAAGCTGTAAATGAAATATGGCCGAATAGGTTCGTACTTTTCTTAGAATTTAATTATTTGGGGTTTTGTTGGGAAAGATACTAAACAATATTTATTTATTTATTTATGTATTTATTTATGTTTAAATTTAAAATAAAATTACAAAATATTTTTATTACCTACTTAAATTACTTAAAATTGTTCATATAATATATCAGTATCACTATCGCTATCATCGCATGTTCTAATTATTATTCCTTCTATATTATTTCCAATATGGATATACGATTGTTCTGCTTTTTCTATATGTTTAACATAATTTGGTCAACTTTGTGGAAGGATGTTAAAAACTTCGGTTTCTATAAGCTTGAGGACGTTGGAGTTAACACGGGGAAAAACATTGTTACGACGAATGGCAGATTTCAGTTGGTGCCAAACATGTTCAATGGGATTAAATGGTAAGGTGGAAGCGTTAAAACTGTATGCCCTAGATTTTTTGCATAATTATCACAGACGTATTCCTTTTGTAGGTTCAAGCTTTGTAGAACCTCAATTAATTGCTTTTTGATATAATCTTCGTGAAAATAAATGTCTTATTATACATGTAGCTTTGGATTGCTGCTTTTGTATTACATGAGGAAGGGGTTTTAGTCAACTGTCTACTGTGATAACTTGCATTGTCCATTACAATTACTCTATTAGGCGGAACGTTTGGAACTAGCTTGTTTTTAAACCAACTTTCAAATTAATCAGCCGTGGTGTCTTCATGGTAATCCAGAGAAGAATCTTTAACATTTTTCGCAGACAGAAAAAGTCCATTTGGAATCTTTAGAGCCAGCATGCAAAATAGTTACTCCTTTTCCTCTTTTTGATGGCGCGTTTGTTTTACACTTATCAGTTGAGTCAACCCAGCCCTTTCCCGGGATATCATAAGTGTCGAACCAGGTTTCATCCAAGTAAATAATTGGTCTTTGTTGGTCGCTGTAAATCCTAATTTTTTCTAGATATTGCAGTCGTCATTTCCGAATTCTAAAAGATTCCATTAAAACTTGCCTTTTGTCAATTTTTTTAAATCTAAAACCCATGTGTTGAATACACTTCCATAAGGGCCACATTTAACACCGATTTCATTTTTTTCAAGCCTCCTAATTAAGATGTCTAATGTAGGCACGCTCGTATAACTGGTAAATTTTACTCCGTATTATATCTTGATCACTTTCATCTACACTCGAAAAAATGTCAGCATCTCTTTTTTTCCTCGCTGAAATGGGAATATTCACAATTTTACAGTTGATGTTGGAATTTTCGTCAATGTGGCCGTTTCTTCTAAAGATGCTTGCTTGCTGGCACCACGTTCAATGAGAGTCAAATAAACATTGTTTATAACTTCCTTAGTCTCAATAGAATAGTGTTTTCTACATTTGTGCGGGAGCATCTCCTGAGATATACTAGACTCGCACATATTTTGCATAATTCGCACACGATTCAACACACGAAATAAGAATGATTACTAATAAACCTAAACTAAGTAGTATACCAAACTAAAGAATATTAAACACAGGTATGAACTGGATAACACACTCTTAACGTAACGCAGGAATGAATCGAAAATTAACAAAATCTTTGCCAAAACATCAAAGGAACAACCAAACCAAACGAATAATTACCAGCATGCCTGAGACGCTTCTTGCCATCGCTCATAACCTCATTCCCCCGTGTATCACGGGTTGCCAGCGTGTCAGGTGTCTAGCGTCTTTAGAATTTATTTTATTTGTTCGGTCTTCCCGAACAAGTCATTTTTTAAATAGATCTGATTTACATTGATTCTCAGGCTAGTTTGAAAACAACCGTTTTGAGAGTAATTAAACAACCTGCTATTTACAAATCTTATGGATTTCTCTTACGTTGGTTGTTTATAAATCATAAGTGCTGACGTTTCGCCGATCATCCTGTTGGCTTCTTCAGAGCTTAGCTGACAGTATTTTTCGTTTGATAGAAGAAATGACTACATTACATTAGTTTTATCTAATAAAATTTGATGTCCGGCTTCGTAAATGTGTTTGGCAACTGCGGATGAGTCTATTTCTTGTAGTAGTCTCAAGGCTCTTTCATGTTCTTTCAGCCTAGTTGATATATTTCGTCCTGTCTCCCCAATGCATGGAATTTTGTATTTGGACAAGTGGTTAATCCGGATTTGAGGTTATGTTTCTGAAGAACTTATGGTCAGTGATGCTATGAATATAAAGAAGGACAAGAATGGAAAGATCTGGTAAAGCGTATTTTTGTGATGGAAGGCTTAAAATCTCCAATGTCAAAATTATTAGAGAGAAGAGCAGATGTAAGGTTTTTAATTCTGGGTTCAGTGACGAGGTTGGGTTAGTTTTACGGCTCTGTAGACAAGAGAGATAACCGATGATTTTTAGGCCAGATAATGATGTGATAATGCATTAAGTTATCGGTCTATTGATTTTTAATTGATAAGAATATCTAGAAATGGGAGATTATTGTTAGTTCCTACTTCAATGGTAAAACGAATGTTACGATGTATAGTGTTTAAATGGGCACGAAAATCTATGAGGGATTCATGACCATATTTTTGGTTTTAGTTGAACGGTGTCGAAGGCTTTCTTCTCAAAAGCTTCCATAAAGTAAGATAATGGAGAACCCCGAGCTGTTCCCGACGTTTGTTCAAAAATTTAACCGTTACAAGAAAAATATGTTCCAAACATTTTTCAATGAAGATGATAAGGTTTGGTTCCAGATTCTCGGATTTGAATATACAATTGAATTTAGTAAAAAAGGATTTTACGGAAAATATCCAGAATATCCTGTGGATCAAATGGTTTTTAATTGTTCAATAAAGTGAAGTGAATAGAAGCTAAATATTTTGCTGGGGAATATGTTGGGAAACCAATGGTCGAATCCTGGCTTGCGAATTTTAGGGAGATTGTAATAGACAAGAAGCTTTAACAACAGTTGCTTTCCATAGATGACGTAGGAACTTTTTTAAGTTGACGATATGTACAGTCTGTAAGAATATCTTGAAAGTTTTTTTGATATTCACTTGTGTTCATGACCACCGTAGCATTTCCTCTATCTACTTTTAGAATTACGATGTCGGGATTAGATTTTAGAGATTTTAGAGGTACGTGTTTAAGCTTCGGGATTTAGGAAGTTTGGGTTTTTAACGAATTTTTGGCTGTTTTAAATCGAATTTCATTAACTGTTTGAGATGACAACTTGTTTCAAAGTTCCAGAGACAATGTGTCGCTTGCCACTGACATCATTCCTTACATTGAAAACATGACTGACGTCATATCAAAAGTTCGTTCTTAGAAAATAAAACGCCAGAACCAGATGTACCATTCCATGCATTTGCATGCCTTGGAAAGACCGGAAGAAAAATATCAACCAGGCTCAAAGAACACGATAACGAAACCCGACATCGAATTTT